TATTATTTTATATTTTTATTTTAATTAAAAAATTTTATATTATACACAAATTTTACAAACTAATATATATAAATTTAGCTTTTTAAATATAGTTTTATATTTGTTATAAAATAATATATAACTTATAATATTTATATAACTTAATATATAAAAATTAAAAAAAAATTAAAAATAATATTATTAAATAAATGTAATTAAAAATTATTTTATAAAACTAAAATATTTATATTAATATTGTTTAAATAAATAAATTCTAAATTATAATAAAAATTTTAATTTTTTAAAAAATTTGGGCAATTTTTTTTGTCCCCTACTGTATATTCCAAAATCATTAACAAATTTGTAAAGTACGTATTTCATGACGATCTAGAAATAGTTAGCATTGTCATAGAATGGGTTGTGGTAGAGCGGGTCTGAGCATCGTTTATCCAAGGTCAGATCTCATAAAAATATTGGCTTATATATATACGAATCAATTACAAAAAAATCAATTCAGAAAGTATTTCACCCGAAGAGATACAGTGCATTAAACAATCCGAAAAATAGTGTACTTTATTGCAATTATAGATTATATTTTAACCTAATATTAAGTCCAAAGGGGGTTTGGAAAGAATAAAGATTTCTCGTTTCGATTTAAAATATCACGTTTTGCTCGAAAATAAGCTTCGATCATTGTGTAGACATCCTCTAAAATGAATAGAAAAAAGACTTCTTATATTCTATTCAGAAATAATGGAAGGTCTACACCAATATGGTAAATATGTAGTTTAGAAAGATTCGAAGACACAAAATAGTTATCAAGTTCATCCTATGTGTGTTAAAGAATTTAGTAATTAGCTTTGATTATTATTGCACTCGCTACTAAATGTTGCTTTGGCGTATAAAATAGATACGTACGTAATAAATTACTAAATACGTATAATCTAATTTTATTATGTAATGTTCGATAAAATAAAATGCTCATTACTTTGTTGCAATCAATAAGTGCTTAATTAAACTACGCAAAACTGTAAAATAACAATAAGCTTATTTTTGTCAACACGCTTTCTATGAAGTTGGCAATTATTGATATGCTCGTTAAACCACATGAAGATATTATGGTCAAATAATGAATTTTCGATTAAGCAAATTTGCTTAATTAAACTCGTTTTCTATAAAGGGAATAACCATTTAATTAAATTTAGAGTAAATAACTAATATATTTGGCCATGCTTACCATCTATAAAATTAATGATTATAAATATATAAATTTGCGAATTGAATACAAATATGCGTAATTGAACTCACCGTCTATAAATTAATAATCAATTTTTTGAAGTTAATAATTTAAGTTATCGACATCCTTATTTTCATCATCACTTTATTTAAAAATAAAATTTAAAATTATAAGAAATTAATTTTTTGATGATTAAATAAATAATAAATTATTTTACCATTTATAGGTACTGTAATTTTCTCCATTGCATCACGAATATTGACTAATCTATCACTCAGTTTGCAAAACATAGTAAGTTAATTTTGTTAGTCTATGTTCTCTCTATCTATCAATGAATTTTCTAATCCATCGGTGGTACTATATCTAGAGGCAAATATTCTATTTGACAATTCCTATCTTGCCAAGATTTGTTCAACACTTCTCCCTTGTCTTCCCCTTCATAATTGTTTTTGGTGTTCTTATAAAAAATACATTCTTACATTATGATAGTAATTTTTTCACCTGAGTAAGACTTCCTTCATCTTTCCCAGAGATTTTGATCGATTCCTTCTTTCTTGATATGTTTTTAGCACATCTCCCATTCTCTTCTGGTTCCTGCTTTCCACAAGAGAAAGTATTTCATGAATCATTATCAGAATCATTATTATCTGATTCTTTGATTATTACTAATACTAATTTTTCATATATTTTTCCTTTAGGTTCATTCATAACCATGGATTATTCTTGGTCCATCTCTTTTACGTTCACCAGTACTTTCAATAGATTTTTCATCCAACAAATCCTTGTTTTCTTTGTAATTATAGAGGGAATCCTCCATAAATTCATTTTTATCCCAGATCAGGGTTCTTCCTATTTTACTGGCTTCATCTTTTTCTCATCACTTTATAATTTTCCGATCGCACTATAATGATGCTGTATCATAATCTACAGTATATGTCATTATATATTTCTTAATGTCTCTATTTACATATCTTTTATTAATAGAAAGTTTCTATTGTCTTATCAATTTCTTTTTTTTTTTAACCCACAGTCAGGTCAGCATGGCATGTCTTTATTGTATATATGCTAGGTATTTACAAATTTTTGTGACTTTTACATACTGACTCACTTGTCGTCAAAAAATTATTTCTCTAAATGCAACCTAGGGAATGATATTTCGCTCCTTTACTAATTTGGAATATTTTCTCTAATTAA